ACAAAGTATACGTGAACTGCTGTATGAAAAGTGAATTTACTCTGTAAATCTTCACCCAAATCCTAATTAAAAAAAAAAAAAAAACTGACAACCTTTTGAATAGCAACCAAGTATGAAATCTGTGTTTGCACTAGCCAGGCACCGACTACTTGAGTATAAACCAAAATCAAACCCAACCCACTGCCATTGAGTGACTTCTGACTCTTAGTGACCCTCATTGGATTTCCAAGGCGATTGGCTCCCCTCATCCTTCAGAGGAGTGACTGGTGGGTTTGAACTACCAACCTTCTGGTTAGCAGTCAAATGCCTTAAACACCGCACCACCAGAGCTCCTTGCTTGAGAATAAGGGCCTGGAATCCCCTATAGCCTTACTCTGGGTATCCAGCAGGCACTCAACTAAGCTTCTCTGAAGATGCCAGTAAAAACAACTTCTCTTCCCACTAACATCTTAAATTATCCGCAAACAACTGTTTATAGATTAATGTTTAAATTTTATTTAGGTAGAATCATAAAGGTTTTTAAAGCCTTAGTATTTATATGGGCAGAATAAATATACTTCTATTAAAATAACAAGTTTCTAATTGCACAGTCCCATTGTGGAAGTTTAGAGAAAGAAACTTAGAACTGCTGCCCAAAGTACTGAATTAGTTCTGGAAGTCGTCATCACCACTACTGCCTCTTTAAAGAATAGTCCATAAATTATCCGCAAGCTGCAGGTGCCAAAGCATTTCTCTCAGAATTGGTTCGCTTCGACAGCTGGACTCTGACCAACTGGAATCAAAAGACCAGGACCTAGAGTCAAAAGACTGGTAGCGTTCAAGTTCAGGCTTTTCCAATTGTGCTTATGTGACACTGGAATGGACAAGACAGCCAAATGACTTATTTTCTTCTTCTCTAAAATAGGAAGGGACATACCTGTCCCACTCTCACGGCTGCGTCACTGTTGTCATTAACAGGGGAGAATGCTCCACAGAGGGTCGCTCGCCGCCCGCCCACCCTCTCTCTTCCCCCCGCCCAGGTCCAGCCCACACTAGAAGGAGCTGAAGACCCCAGTTCCTTGTTCGATGGAAAAGGATGCTCCCCTTACCACCCTTCCCCTTGGACGGCGGCAACGCGCGCTCTGACAGTCGTGCCGCCAGGCCGTTACCCGCACCTGCCACGCTCCCCTCCAGTAGCCCCTTTCCTTGCGTCCCCCAGGCTCACCCGAAGCCCGCGACCCCCGCCCCGCCAGGCGCCCCACCGGGCGCCAGGACCCCAGCCCGCGATGGCTGCGCCTGCTTTGCTTCGGGCTCCTACAGCTCCTCCCGGCTTGCGTTCAGGCCCCGACCAGCCCCGACCAGCCGTGCCCCCAGGTCATCTCCTGTTTCCTCAGGCCGGCAGGGGCAGGGTGATCGCGGAGCTGAGACGCCTTACCTGGGAGCTTGAGCGCCCTGGACAGCACGGTCGCCATGGCTGAGACCTCGGTGCGCTTGCGCGTGCCCACGTCCTGCCGGGAAGTGTAGTTCCAAGTGGGCTGAGCCCGGGGCGGGGATCCGGAAAGGTGGGACCCGCTCCGCTGAGCAGAGGCGATAAAGAGGTACCAGGCGGCGGCTTCCGCGTGCAAGGAATCGCCCCTACCGGCTAATCTCCCACGGACTGTGAGCCACTCCTTACGGTGGGAAGATACCTGACCACTCTGAGTCTCACTTTCCTCCTCAGTAAAATGAGAGAAGTACTAATTACCCTCTAGGCTCTCAGTGAGAAAGGAATGAATAACATGTAATAAAGGAGGCACGGATTGTGAAATGTGCGTGGGCTTTGAAGTCAGGCAGACTGGATTTGAATCATGGCTGCATCACTTACTAGCTGGGCCATTTTGGGCAAGTTGATTGGAATGCCTAAATTTTAGCTTCATTTTTAAAATAAAGAAGACACTATCTACTTCATAAGCTTTCTTTGAGAAATTATGTAAGTGTTTTTAACACGTTGTTGTTAGGTTCTGTAGAGTCAGCTCCGACTTATAGCGACACTATGTACAACAGAAGGAAACACTGCCCAATCCTGGGCCAATCCTTGCTATACCTGAGCTCATCATTGCAGCCACTGTGTCAATCCAGCTTGTTAAGGATCTTCCCCTTTTTCACTCAGCGTTACCAAGCATGGTATCCTTCTCCAGGAAATGGTCCCTTCTGACAACGTGACCAAAGTAGGTGAGACAAAGCCTGGCCATTTTCGCTTCCAAGGAGCATTCCAGCTGCACTTCATCCAGGACAAATTTGTTCGTTCTTCTAGCAGTCCACAGTACTTTCAATATTCTTTGCCAATACCACAAATCAAAAGTATCAACTCTTCTTTGTTATTCTTCGTTATTCATTCTCCAGCTTTCACATATATATAAGGTGATTGAAAACATCATGGCTTGGGTTAGGCGCACCTTAGTCTTCAAAGAGGCAACTTTGCTTTTCAGCACTTTAAAGATGTCTTTTGCAGCAGATCTGTCCAGTGCAATACGACACCTGATTTCTTGACTGCTGGTTCCATGGCTGTTAATTGTAGATCCAAGTAATGTAAAATCTTTGACAACTTCAATCTCTTCTCAATTTATTGTGATGCTGCTTATTGGTCCTCTGGTGAGGATTTTCATTTTATATTGAGGTGTATTCCATACTGCAGACTGTAGTCTTTAATCTTCATCAGTAAGTGCTTCAAGTCATCTGCACTTTCAGCAAGCAAGAAGTTGTGTCATCTGCATATTGCAGGTTGTTAATGAGTCTTACGCCAATCCTGATGCCACATTCTTCTTCATATAGTCCAGCTTGTTGGATTATTTGCTCATCAGACATATTGGATAAGTATGGTGAAAGGATACAACCCTAACGCATGCTCTTCCTGATTTTAAACCATGCAGTACCTCCTTGTTCTGTTCAAACAACAGCCTCCTGGTCCATGTACAGATTACTCATGAGCACAATTAAGTGCTCCGGAATTCCCATTCTTCTAAATGCTATACATAATTTGTTATGGTCCACACAATGGAATGCTTTTGCATAGTCAATAAAACACAAGTAAACATTTTTCTGGTATTCTTTGACTTCAGCCATGATACATCTGACATCAGCAATGATAGCCTTCCTCGTTCCACATCCTCTTCTGACTCCAGCTTGAGTTTCAGGAAGTTCCCTGTCAATATACTGCTGCAACTGGTTTTGATTTACCTTCAGCAAAATTTTAATTGTGTGTGATGTTAATGATATTGTTTGATAACTCCCACATTCTGTTGGATCACCTTTCTTTGGAATGGGCACAAGTATCTATCTTTTTCAGTGAATAGGCCAGGTAGCTGTCTTCCATATTTCTTAGCATAAACAGAGTAAGTACCTCCAGCACAGCATCTGTCTGTTGAAACATCTCAATGGGTATTCCATCAATTCCTGGAGCCTTGTTTTTCACCAGTTCTTTCAGTGCAGCTTCAACTTCTTCCTTCAATACCATTGGTTCTTGATCATATGCCACCTCCTGAAATAGATGAACATCAACCAATTCTTTTTTGTATAGTGACTCTGTATATTCCTTCCATCTTCTTTTGAAGCTTCCTGCATCATTCAATATTTTGCCCATAGAATCTTTCCGTATTGCAACTTGAGGCTTGAATTTTTTCTTCAGTTCTTTCAGCTTGAGAAATGCTGAGCATGTTCTTCCTTTTTGAGGAGGCAACTCTTCCCTAGTAGTATTTTGAGTGTCTTCTGACCTGAGGGGCTCATCTTCTGGCACTATATCAGACAATGTTTCAGGACTATTCTTAAAAGTTTTCCAGTAATACATCAGACAATGTTTCAGGGCTATTCTTAAAGTTTTCCAGTGATATATCAGTGTTTCATTGATATTCATAAGGTTTTCACTGGCCAGCTCTCTGAGAAGTGGTTGGCCCCTTCCTTTTTCCGAGTCTGCTTAGTCTGGAAGCTCCACTGAAACCTATCCACCATGGGTGACCATGCTGGTATTTGAAACACTGATGGTATAGCCTCCATCTTCCTCACAGTAATATGCAAGCCACCACAGTGTGACAAACTGACAGACAAGTAACACATTAGACACTTAATAAGTGTGACTCTTTCATGTTTCTTAGATGAAGGTTGAAGTTTCTAGTAGCTCTAATCCTCATTTGTTACTACTATTTCTTTCCAGGTATTTGCTAGCCTGATGTGGCTGGAAAACAGAATCTGGTCAGTTTCTTTCACTTGCACCAGGAGAAAAGCATTTTAATGGACAAGAATGCTGAGGATGTTATATTACCTTAGAACAGGAATGTGTCTTAGGGGCTATCTTGTCCCACTCGCCTTGTTTTATTGAAGAGAATACTAAAATCTAAAACGATGATGTGACTTCTTAGTGCCAGAACAAAAGCTCTAAGGTAGCTCTCACTTTGAGGCAGCTTCATTCCCATGAAAAACTGTAGATAGAACTGTCCTGTGGGTGTAATCTGAGAGACTCTTAGCAGTCATTCTTACCGCTTCTTCCCCTATGGAAAAAATGTCAGACTCTGACAGAGCACAGATTCCGGAGTTAGCCTCCATGAGTTCAATTCAGGACTCCAACACACTTCCTAGTTGTGAGGCCTTTAGCTAGTTGCTTAAACTCACTATCTGCCTCAATTTCCTCATGTGCAAAATGGGGTAATAATAATAGTTCCTGTTCCATAGAGTTGTCTGAGATTAAACAAATGTATATGCAGAGTCCTTAGAACAGTGCCTGGCATGTTCTTGTTGTTAGCTACTGTTGAGTTGGCATCCAACTCATGGTGACCTCATGCACAAGGTGCATGGGCCAGAAATCAACCTGGCATCAACCCACATGGAAGGGAAGAATTCTGATTTAAAACCATAGTTTACATCTATGTCCCCCTCAAAAAACAAACCCACTGCCATCAAGTCAATTCTGACTCATATAGACCCTACAAGACAGAGTAGAACTTCCTCATGGGGTTTCCAAGGCTGTAAATCTTTACAGAAGCAAACTGCCTCATCTTCTTTCTCCTACATACATCTATGTAGGTCATCTAAAAGAAGCAACCCTGCAAGTCACCATAAGCCAGCACAAGCTTGTCTGATAGCAGATTAGCTAATTGAAATACAGCACTGAGATATGAAGAGTGAGAAGTATGAGTAGGATATAGGAAATATCAACATGAGTTGCAGAAGAACAGGAACTTGAGTTTGTAGGTAAGGGGGCAGGTAGACTAAAACACACAGATTATACAGGAAGGGAGGAAAAGAGAAAATCTGTCCTTGAAGAGGGTGTCCATAGTGGAAAGGCATATTCTGGGAGAATCCTTCCTTGTGTGATATTATTGTTGTTGTTGTTGTTTTCCATGGAGTTGGACTCGACTCATAGCGGCCCCTCCTTGGGTTTCTGAGACGGTATCACTACAGAAGTAGATTGTCCAACTTTCCTTCCAAGGAGTGGCTGGTGGGTTTGAACAACCAGCCTTCTGGTTAGCAGTCAAATGCCTTAGGCATTACGCTTAAAATAAAATTACATATTTTAAATTTTTTAAAAAAACCTTGCTTCAAACTGTATAGTCACCCAAAACATATGTGCATACATATACTTAGGTGTATATAAATGTGTGTGAGTGTATATACATTCAATAGATTTAACATCTCCAGATTTCTATGCCTAACCTTTATGGCATTTCCACTCTCTCCATAATCACCCCCAAGAAGCTCTGGTGGCATAGTGGTTAAAGCATTTGCTTAGGCTGCTAAGCAAAAAGTCAGAGGTTCGAACCCACCAGCCACTCCACGCGTGAAAGATGAAGCTGTCTGCTTCCATAAAGATTTATAGCCTTGGAAACCCTATGGGGCAGTTCTACTCCGTCCTATAGGGTTGCTAGGAGCCTGAGTTGACTTGTTGGCAGTGGGTTTGGATTTTCACAATCACCTGAGCTTTGTTCAAATGATTTCCAGGGGGAAGCAGATGTGGAGGGAATCCTTCTCTCCCTATCTCTCTGAGTTTTCCTCTGCCTGTCTTCCCTGCCCCCTCCAGAGTCTCTTTCCCATTCCTCCATATTTTTTTCCAATTTAACAAGAATTATCACTTAGCATAGTGCTTCTCAATTTTAATGAACTTTCTTTCTATTGAAGAAAACTTTCAACGTGGAAGCCAAATGAATCAGGATCCCTGTCTTTTCCATAGAGAAAACCTGTGAGCACCTCTCTAGTTACCTGGCAGTATGTGGGTGCCTTCACTGCCCAAACACCCCACAGGCTCTGCACAGCGGTTCCCTGACTTCTGAACTTGCCTTGCCTTCCTGAGAAGTATAACAAGGGCAGCTGGGAGTGTGAAGCCTGTGGACAGCCTTAATCTGAGTGAGTGTTGTGCCTGGTTTGAAGAGAAGACATTTATTGGATGCATAAGTATGCTATATTATAACTGCCCCCTCACCGTCTCCCTAGCTGCTAATGGACATAATAACTACTAACAGACATAAAGTAAAGTACGTGCTTTATGGAGACATAACTGCCCTCTGAAGGAACACAGAACTCTGTTAAGGTCTCCTAGTGGGGTAAAGGAAGAAGGGCAATACCCTGCCACCAGTCAATCTAGCCCACTCTAAACAGGGGCAATCAATGATGTCCATTGCCTACAAGGTGCTTTCCACTTTTATTACCACATTTTAGCTTTTATTACCTCTTTCCCTACCTGCTCTTTGTGCATGCTATTTGTCACATAGACATGGCTGTCCGATTAGTACTTCAGAGAGGTATTTAGGTGTTCTCCTTCTAAGACGTGTACTGGGGTGTGCATGGATGTGACCTAGCCCTGTGGATGGGAGCCTAACTTTGGGGAACTTAGGCTGATAATGATTGTGTGCT